ATCTGAATATAGTCTACCTCTTCAGGTTTTTTAGTATTTGTTATTTTTATATGGCCATGATCAACTCGGTTTCTAACAGAATTAAATCCAGCTAAGAATCCTTTACATCAACAAGAAAGTCTTCAATATAAATGTTAATGCAATTACTCAGAAGGTTCTCAAGTCCCAAATTAGCTTTTGCCCCATCATTAAGCACCATTACCTCGAAATTGCACCAAAGTTTGTCAATAAAGGCTGAGTAAATGTCCTGATTTACAAAACAAAAATTCTCTCTATTAAACCACATACTTTCTACTCCATCAGGTTCTCTGAGATTCAACATTGTTTCATTGAATCTTTACTCTAAAAGAGCTTCTTTCACTCAGTGTCATTCTTAACAGTTCTGTTTGTCATTATCATTATACTCTTGCAGACTCTTCTCAAGAAATAGTAGCACTCCGTATGAATAGACCCATTTGGCTCTAATTGAGCTTTCATTTTAGTGTCTTTTTACTTTTTTTTAAGGAAATGTCTCAAAAGTAAGGATTGAATGAGAATTCAGCCTCCTAAATAAGGCCCTCTTAAATGAGACTGATTGTCTTCAGAAATCACTTAGTGTCATCCTTTTTGAATTAACATTAGTGAACAACAGCATCTTTAAGACCAAGAAACACACCAGACAGATCAGGGACAAGGGTGTAGAGCAGGTAAAAGTGGGTTTTGGTCATGAAATAATATCCCAAGTATCTAACAGAACACATCCCTACCAAGACTTAATAGTTCACCCTACAGGCTGGGCAAGGAGAGCAGAAAAACACATCAGGGACCTAAGGTTACTCTGGGGGAGCTCAGAAACCCACATAAATAAATGGTGATCCACAAATCAGGCCTTTATGAAAGAGTGATTGAAAGAAAGTCATTGAAAAAAAAAAACAGTTTTGCACAAGTCAAACCTTGTTTGTACAAAAAGTTATGTGTGGAGAAAATCTAAACTGTAGCCCAAAGATACCAGCCCACATTGAGACCCACTATGACTGAACCGGTTTGGTCACCGGTTTCTGAGAACTTATAATGCTTTCTACTGGTCATATTTTGAAAAGCTCAGTGAAGGCTTCAGTGACATTTATGCTGCCAAAGGGTTTATGTGGAGCACACCCTCCCTGAGCTCATTAATATTAGTTTATGCAGGTACCAACCGCTCCATTAAAAGATGTGAGCCTTTCAGGCAGATTGAGCGAAGGTCCATGTTTTAATGACTTCAGTCCACTATGCAGCAGATCAGCCAATATTGGGTGAGGGAGATGGAAGTCTGCTGAGACCTGAAAGAGCTAGAGGCACCTCTGCTTGTTTCTGGGTGGTGGCTACTGATGGCGAGGTGAAGAAATTAGATGGCCTCCAGTATATTTTGGTTGTCTGTGGAGAAAAGAAAGCTAAGAGCCTCCCTACCAATCTCTAATCCAGCCTTACAGCATCCCTACTGCCAGCCGTGGCTTCGTGGCTTGGGAAGTAATTGACTCTATTTGCCTGTAGAGCTGACTCTTTCTCTCTCTCAGTGGATTTAAAAACCTGTGGGCCCAGTTCAGAAACTGCCTGCTGACAGTTTAAAAGCTGCCAGCTCCTCTCCCTCTTAGTCTCTCCTTTATTTCCTTTTTCTGGCTGCTTAATTGAACTGGTCTAGCCAATCGGTCTGTTGATGCTGACGGGTGGGAAGAGGAGAGAAAAAAAATCTTTGACTTCAGAATTTAATCTTATTTAATAGTGCAGCATCCAGAATGTGGAGTTGTGAAAAATATTATTTAAACATTTTAGTGGCTTCAAGGGAATGCACAAGGAGGCTTCTTGTGTTGCTGCCTGGAAACAAAACGAAAATCAACTGAAGGGAAGAAGGAAACCAAACCTGGAATTCTCCACAGAAGAATGGAAAGAGAAACCACAGAATTATTTTTAAAATCCATTTATCTAAGATTTTATCACAGGCTGTAGAAATGCTGGATCTGTGTCTTAAGTTTGAGAAGAATTGATTCCACTATTTGAAATTGAGTGGCAAAGGGATTCTTAGGTGCAGTGATTGTCTTCATGAACTCGGATCACATATTTCACGTCCAACCTTTTCCTAGGGAAAGGTCCCTTCGACTGTCTGACACATGCCTCACATGGACCCATGGATTCAGGATCCTTTGGTGTGAGATATCTTGTTCCATGTGTGGCTGATAATTTACCCACTGTCCTAAAGCCACCTTCCTCTCATGTTTCCCTCCTTTTTAAAAAGTTTTTGTCATTCATGCTGTGCAGAGCTCCCTCTTGTCATCCCGAATCTGCAGTGAGCAGATCGTAACATTAAGCGTTTTCTTTCTTGTTTCTGTAGTTCCTGAGCTTGTGCGGAAATATTAACGTGCTTGCAGTATTTTGACTTCAGCACTTTGAAGCTGTCTGATGATTCGTTTGCTGCCTCTCTTAGGGGAGCAGCCTTTTAGAAGCAGCCCTGTGGTTTATTTGCTGTGAAAGGCTCAGCGTAGTTAAGTCAGCTGGTTCTCCCCTTCGTCCTCCTCCAGAGTCAGGTCTGCCTTCTTTGATGCCCTGGAAAGCTTTAAATCTAGGCTAAAGAACAGTGTTGGACTGCGTACCCTGAGCAGTGGCAGATTTGCTCTACATGAACATCTGCCACTGGGGAGTTGTGTCGTGCTTGTTACGTGAAAGCTCGACCTTGGTTTTTGCCTTTCAGTATAACTTGATAAACCTTAACATGCAGTGGTGAGCGATTGATTATAGTTAAAAGAGGCTTTTATGTACCTGGTGTATGAACAGAACAAGAACACCTGCTCCGGCCCGTCCTCCCTGCTCACCACAGAGAAGATGCTAACATATTCTGTAGAACAGTAAGACTTCTCTTTTCCACATCTGAATCGTTTACTCATGTGCAGAGAGGAGCAAACACACACACACACACGTCTGCGGTGACGAATGTATCTCCGCGTCAGAAGAGGTGTTTGTGCTGTTGTCTCTGTAGCAACCACACAAGGTGACTCTGATCCCTGATGGTTTTAGCAGCATGGTCTCCGCTCCGTCCGACACGTGAAAAACAATCCCAACAATCACAGTTTCAAGCTCACCCAGTGGGAGTCCCTCCTCCGTTCTAAATTTGCCATTTCTCCTCTTTTCCCCCTTTCATCGTCATCTGTTTGACCTAATCCATCTACCTTTTTTCATCAGAGTGCATGTCCACCTCATTTCTCTTCTGCCCCTATACCTTCGATTCCTGACTCCCAAGCCCTTACTTTGTGGTAGAAACCTGAAATTGAGTCACTTGTACATTGAATTCAATCAATCATCTGGATTGTCTACACATGATCGTTCTCATGTGCAGGGGAGAGAGGAAAAAATGGGGGAGTAATATTGCATTCTTTAAACGCCAAATATCAAAAGAGCTGGAGAGAAATTGGATGATCTACTGGACAAGGCTGAGTTTGTTTGTGTGCATTACTGAAATGCTTAAAGCTGACATCAAAAAGCATTTCACCAATAATGATGAGCTTTATTATGAGAGGCAGTTGTAAGAGTGGGACTTAAGTTCTGACGTCAAGATTTTTACGCGGCGCAATGCTCGCTTTTTTTGGACCACCTTACAGTTCGATTGCACATTCACACCATCCCTAACAAACCGCTTTCTAGAAAAATGAACTTGAGTTTGTTTTAAAATGGACTAAATAAAATTTGCACTTCACAAATTACAGAGCAATAGCTCTACAGAACTGGAGTTCCAGACATTTGACCATTTCAGAGTTTTAGGTCCCAACTGAGGTTTCTGGGGGAAGAGGTCAGAGTAAAAGCAAGTGATGGTCCATGCCAATGATTAACGATCTTGCCCATATTAGGGGTTGAGGAGCATCTTCCTGAAACATGACCTAGGACCAAGGCTCAACACCAAGCTCCTGGTAGTCCAACCTTCGCTCCTGCGACTTTCTCTGGTTTACCATAAAAAAGTAACCAGAGAATCTGCTACATGAATCCCCCAATCTACGATCCCAAACATACATGCTGATTCGTGATTTTTTTCTGAAACTTGAACTTCTGCATTAATGCATCAAGCTGTTGGAAGAACTGCTATGTGCAGGGAAAATGTAAATACAAGTATTTTAGTGAAAAGACTGAATTGGTGTTGAAGAACTTGAATAGAACTCAACAGCAGTAAATAAGTCTTAATTGAATGTTAACGTTATTGTCGTCAAAATGACATCAGAGCAGTGATGTGCAGAAGTCTGATTCACGCCTCATTTCATTTCATTTGCCTTTCAGCAAGACTTTCTTCTTTCTTTAAAGTTGTCTTGATCAAGAGTTGTTTTCATGCTTTCTGAAGCTCTTTTCAACTCTTTTCTTTGAACTCTGACAGTTTTTTCACCCATTTTCATCTCATTTTCAGAGCTTTAACTCTGACCTGTGACTCATTCAGACACTTAAAAGTCTAGGGGGATGAATCAGTGCTGAGTCAGCATATAGATAATTAAGCAAAGAACCAGTTTTACATGGATTCTTTAGGCCGTGAAAAAAGCAACATAATTTACTTATATCTTTATTAATTGAACCATCCCCTCTTTCACAAACATCACAAAGAGAAGCCCACTTTTTAAGGTTGTTCTTTTTACTTTTAAATAACTAATTAAGCCTGATGTCAACGCAGATGTGACTTTTCAGAAATGAAAACCGCAGGAGGTGTCGAATGAAACTCATCTGGGTCAATATTAATGTAATATAATAATATCTGTTGGATTGACTGTTGACTGAATAAGCTTGGTATTGCACTTATACAGGAACTACATGAGGGGTAAAAATTACATCTGAACATACACAATTTAAGCTTAGGAAGCTACAAGTTTAACGCTCAACTTTTGTTTGTTTTTTTAACAGTTTTTGATCCACTTAAATCCTGATAAATACTAGTAGTGTCTTACATCTTAGTCCTAAATACTTTTGTACTGTTTGTCTTAAATCATAGTCTGAACACATTTTTACCCTCTGCTCTCCAGGTGCTCTCGCCATCCTGATACCGGAGTTGGACCTCGTCATCTCATTGGTCGGTTCGGTCAGCAGCAGTTTCCTGGCTCTCATCTTCCCACCCATCCTGGAAATCCTTGCCTTTCACACGGAGGGTCTGTCACCACTGGCGACCATCAAGAACGTGATCATCAGCGTGGTGGGGCTGATCGGCTTCCTCTTAGGAACTTATGTCGCCATCATAGAACTTATAGCACGAAATAATGTCAAACACGTAGAGACATTCCACACCTACATGGTGCAGTAGAACAGACTGTTGGGCCTTTCAGGTCAGCTTAAACTGTTCTAATGAAAACTTTTATTTTATGTTTTTATTTGCTGCTGTTGTATTTTAATGCAATGTAATTATGTCACAAATGTACGAGTGTCACGCTAAATTAATTACAGCCATTAGTTAAGGCCAAAAGTCATAAATGCGTAACGTAGAAGATAACTTCATCAGATTTTTAAGAGATTAACAGTATTAGAGGTAATTTATTGTATTCAGAGCCTAGAAATATTCATGTAAATTCTCCAGTCAACACATCAAACTACCTCAATAGTTGTTTTTCGTTTTAACTCCCAGATTCAGAGCTGATTCTGACTTGCAGATTGTTTTTCACCTTCACCCAGACATCTTCAAGTTTGCAGCTTTGAGTGGTTTTTAATCACCGTCTGACATCTTGACAGGAAGAAAACCTTATTAAAAGAAAATGCACTTTGATTTATGCCTTATTGAATAAAACTGCACCACTTTGGCAGTTTTCCGTGACACATTGAACAGTTTAAGAAAAAAAAAACGTTTTGAGAACAGATTAAGGGTTATAAACCAAACCTTGCATTATTTGAGCAATATTTGTGCTTTTTATCTTCACTTATCAAATCCATCAATGTGTCTCTGGTCAGATGTTTTAAAGATAAATCTGTTATGCACTTACACAGGAAATACATGATTGTGATTAGGAGAATATTTGGAGAATATTTTGCACTTTGCATATATCGGTGCAAAATATACATAAAATGAAGTGACTTGATGCTTGCTAAGCAAAAAAATTTGATATTTCCTCCAAAGCAATATTACTATGTTTAAATATTGGTGAAAGTAAAGAAAATTTCTTACCGCCACTATAGTTTAAACTTTATTTGGGTCAAAGATTGCATGGGTGTTTTGATTTCTTCTACGGTTATTTTTTTTTCTATTTGGGGATTTTTACCATTGGATGTTAAGCAAAATCATCACATCTTAAGCTTAGTCTTGGTTTAAACTCTGAACTATTCAGAAGGTTTTTGGTTCAAGCCACTTTCATAGCTGTACTATGGTTTCCAGATGTGCACTTTATGCATCTCACAGAGGTTTGGAGTTATCATTCTTTCACCCACTGTGGCTCCTGTTATTTATTTGGGTTCACACTGTGTGATTACTAGCCAAAGTCTAAAAATAAGAAAATCTCTAGTTATCATTAAATGTAAATCATAAAGCAAGCAGTGATACTTTCTGGATAATCCTGCAGCGTGACTCCTGCGGCGGCAGATTTCTGATTCTTGTCACCCTGATATAAACTTGTGCCGCCTCCTTTTTCGTCTCCTCGTATTCTTATTTTCTCCATCTGACTCCATTAATATGCACATTAATAACTGAATCTTCCTTTTTGTTTATTGATCCGTCACCTGCAATCATGTTGCAGTAACTATGTTGCCTCCATCCCCCTTCAAAGTTTCTCCAGAAATGTTCTAGTTTTTTACTTTTATGGTGAAAATAAGACTTTTCGGTCTATTTTTGTGGAAACATCAGTTGTGCTGATTTTCTGCAGTTAAAATCTAATGCGAGCCTGAATCTTGTACAGGTTGTGCTGTGCACCGTTTGCTCCAGTCACATCAGCTTCACTAACTCTCTTTAACTTTGAAATATTACAGAAGATTCATGAGGGGAAGAAAAAAAAACTTGTGACAAAAATGTATGAGAAGGCAGTAAAATAATTTTAATTCAAATCTCGTTGAAAATTAACTAATGTTCAAATTTTTCCTGACCAGAGATGACGAACATTTACAATCTACAGGTACAAGTTGTAAAAGTTTTTTTGTATTTTTTTTTTCTAAAATCTTGACAAACAAGGATTTGATCAGAAGACAGATGAAAAAGCTCAATGATCTAAAACTGTAGAATAAATGTAGATATTAATCCAAACTGTTTCAGTCTTGGGAGACACAATACTAAATTATGTAGGAGCTCTTCTGTGTCTTGAAAAGTTTTTTGTTCTTTATTTTTTTATTATTTTGTTTGATGTTTTTACTAAGTCTTATTTTTAAAATTTTTTATTACTTGTTCCTAACTTTTACAGGTTGGTTTAATTTCTGACATACTGTATATCAAATAATAAACAATTTATCTGCAATGTCTAGCAGACAAAATGCAACATGTACTGTAAGTTCACCGAACAGCTTCTGTACTGTTGTGCATCTTCAGTGTTTCTGTGCCAGTATCACCCAGTTAAATTTTTCAGCTTTTATTAGAAAATGTTTGGAAATCAATAAAAAAAAATCATATCCACATGCCTTATGTGCATAAAGAACTATAATTGTGTGTGTGTGTGTGTGTGTGTGGATATACCAGTTACCTGTTGTGCATGTAAATGTTTGCTCATTTGCAAAGAAAATGTTTAAAATAAAGTACCCATTAGTCTTTGTGCTAAACAGGGAGCAGCATTGATAACAGTGATGACTTCCCAAGGACTTTTTTTCTATCTGTAATGTAGAGTGTTGTGATAATAATCATTTTTAAAACTCTTCAGCAGAAAATATAAATGTCAGTGAAATAAAAATCTACATCTGAATGATGAGCTTGAAAAGGACTGAATTTCACGTTTATATGCTGCATGGTTTTAAAAAGATGAAAACATTTTTTGTTCTTTTAGCATTCTGTAAGTTCTTCATCCCTTTCGCTGAGTAAACAACCTAATGAGGCACATTACTTATATTTTTCAGTCATAATTTAAACACTTTGATGTAGATCATAAGTGGTTGAAATTAGAGAATTTGCATCTTAAGTTATGTTTATATGAATAATTAATGCTCATTTTAATGTTCTGCCTTAATATGGCAGATAAATATACCTTTAGCTGCATGCTATCACAACATACAGCAGAACAACTGTATTACTTCACAACATCTTTCATTGTTTCCCTTTCTTGCATACATAGGGAGACATCCAATGTCCAAACCCTTTAACTGACTCCACTACAAGCTCCAACCTGGAAGATGGAGGATTTGTTTTTTTTTCTCCCATGATGTGCATAAACACTACATGCTTGTGTGGGTTTTAACATATGTGAGCTAAAGAGCTTCCTTTTCAGTTCAGCTCTTTCTTCTCCAGAACAGAACAAAATAATGTTCTCACGTCGACAGACACACGCCTTTTCACAACTCCGCATTGAGATCTTTTCCACAAGCTTCAAAAACAGTATCAGTGAGTAGGTGCAGCTCTGACAGAGTTCAACGCACCCCAGAAACAGCTTAGACTTTGGCAACAAAAAGACAAGATGAAAAGTAACTACATTCTCCAGTTTCTCTAAAAGAAAATACCTCTAAGGACACATCAGCGCCACTCTGCACATCCAGTAAGAACAAGGGAAGAAAGTCCTCTAACACAGAAGCAGAGTGAACTTTCTTGGATAGCCTGACAAGTTGGGTGCTTTGATAGCTGGAAGTGCCTCTAATCTTGATTTGAACTCCATAAATTCTTCTTATGTTTTTCATCAACATCAAACATTCTGAGAAATACTTACAATCTCTGCTTTTATCTAAAAGCATTGAATCATTTCTGCTTCAATCTAAGCATTCAATGAAACATTCAAGATATAAACAACTGAATCTAAACATTAAAACCAAAGGAAATGTTTACAACAGTGAGTTTCTCATCATGGTGCAAGTTTTTGTGGCTGATATGATGTAAAGCACTTTGAAATACCTTGCTGCTGAAATGTGCTATACAAATAAAATTTGAGTGATTGAATTTTATCACAGAACCATGTACCATGTACTATACATGCAGGCACTGGAGTCAAAAGCTCTGTAACATTCATCTGCTCAATTTACACATTAGTGTCAACATTAATAGAGAATCTGAGTTATCATGTGCTCCAGGTCAAAACAGAAATTGGAGAAGTTATTTCAGAGTTGTCGTAAAACAGACGTGTGTGTGACAGAGACTTGGTGGAAGAAAGTGACACCTCATAATCAGAGCGGTCATGTTGTAACAAAATCTAATGCTGCTGAATAAATGCATGAAGACGTTCTTATTGCTCTCACAGTTCTGCTACATCTCAGAGGTTAATAGACTAGCGGAAGCTGCCAGAGTCTAATTCCTTCCTTAATTTGTCAGATTGTTCAATTTCTCTTTTCCCATTTATTTTCAGGAGGTCCCCAGTCTGTCTTCCTCAGATAGTCAAAATGTATTGACTGTTAAATAAACTGTCTGGTTTGGATGTTATTTGGTCAATAAAGACTTTAATAGAGATGAAAAATAAAAAAAAGTAAATTACATCTGCTGTAAATAAGATTCAGATATAATTCACAATGTTTGTTAAGTTGCATTATAATCATTTGTAGTGTAGCTGTTGAAAAGAATGAGATTGACATAAATTCTACATTTTTTCACTTAAAAAAATGTTTGGGGGGCTTTTATTGAACTGTAATTTGACATAAAAAAATGATGGAGACAGAAGTGGGAGACATGCAGTAAATATCCCAAAAGATAACCAAACCGACAGCTATTGCAAACGGTTGCTCTACCAACTGAACCATGCAGCGGCCCAACACACAAACATTTTTAAAGATAAAGCAGTTAATGCCAGCTCTTTTATGAGCTGCAGTATCAATAAGACTCCAAGACAATGCCATTTTAAAGCAGTTTAAAAACCTTTATTTTAAATGCCATAATTGATGAGAACTTTAAAATTGTTTCATTAATTATTAAGAATATCTTTGAGATTATCTTTCCACTCAGCGTTTAGTTAAATTAAGTAAATATAGTTAAATTAAACACAGTGTTTAATTCACTGTGAGTCTCCTCATTGTGACTTTATAACTAATATTATTTTTATCTAATTTAACTTGAGGCTTGAGATTTACAGTAGGTGACTATTAACGAGGCGAGGCTGACAGACGTTATAAAGAAGAATGTTAATGTCAATCACCATTTATTGTGGTGATTGATTTATTGATTTGTTTTCCTCAGAAAACAAATCAAATCAATGATTTATTTTCCTTGGAAAATAAATTGAGGTCAAAATTATTCACATTGCTGGAAGGACTAATTTAAAAAGGTTTATTTTTTACTGTAGAAGTTTGTTTTTGACTTCTAGGAATGACTCAAAGCTCAACAAGATAATGTAATCTTGAAAAAACTGTGACGGCAGTACAGCAATCAAACCCTTGTTATACCAGCTTTTTGCATGTTTCCACTGGTACTTTGCTGACACTTGGTTAAACCAAATATTTAATTCTAGAACAGGTCCCAGTCAGGACTCAAATTGTTTAAAGTATGTATAAAATTAAATGATTTCTAAAACCGACAGTTTCCTGTATCATGCAATCACACTTGCATTCATCAAGTAATCTATTTCCCACTGCTGCACTATATGTTGTTTTTAATCACGTCTGGATATTTTAGAGTTTGACTGTTTCCACGACAGATGATGAGATTACAGTTGAGAGGTTGTTATGGAGGGATTTGTGAAAGAGATGATGAGTTTGTCTCTGTAACTCACATCAACCAGCTACTGAATAAAAGCCTTCTGACATCATCGAGAGTCATCCTCGACAATAGAAAAGGGTTTGTTACGATATATTAAACTGACAGTGTATTTTGTTTTTTTTTGTATCTTGAACTGAAAGTGCTAGTTTTAACAACAAAGATGACTATTGCTTGACTTGAATTTAGCTTTTAGCTGCAGATTGTACATTCAAGCCAAAGAAACAACAGGTAGGTTCTGATTCTGAGGTTTTCTGCTTGCTTGGATTTCTTTTTGTTTCTGAAAAGAATTCCCACAAGCAACCCAAGTGTTCCTCATAACCTAATAACACAATGAGAGGAAAGCTTTTTGGAGTAAGAGAAAATAAAACGTCATTTTGTGCTTATGGATAGCCGAAGACAGCATATCATTAACCTGGAGGTAAGCAGTCACTAATGTGGACGGATGTATTCTGCTAACAGCACAATGCCTGGAAAATGAACTGGTTGACATGGACTGTGCGGATGCTCAGATTTATCTTTAAGTTGCTGCATAAATTCATACATGTAGCTTTTGGTCTGGTTTATAATTTTCTTAAGGTCACTTATCTGAAAGTTGTACTGTCTCTCCTCTTCCGTCCACTGCTGCGCCAGTATGTCTCCAATCACCTCTTTTCCTGAAATGACCTCGTTTGTGCTCGTTATCATCCCAGCCAAACAAATAATGGGACAAATTGATGGCACAAATTCAACACACAACAGTTTCTTGTTTTTTATGACGACAATGAGGTGAAACAGCTTTTCAAACACGTAACGCAGGCTTTTCGAATCCAGTATGTTCAATAATTGTACCTCTGCATTGAACCTGAATTACTCGCCCACCACAGATTAGAAACAACTGAATAGGAAAATCACAAAAGGATGAGGCCGCTCCAATAACAATCATCTTTAATGTTAATTCCTCCTACAGAAGACAGTTTCATATATACATTGGAGTCTGCTGTGTAATTTTACTCAAAATAGATTGAAACCTGCTCATGACACTCCTACTCGAAAATTTCTTCTGAAGCTCTGATGAGTGATGTAAAAATAATATCCACAGACAAAAGCAAGTTCATAAAAGAATATGTGGACAGACTGTGCAAAGTGTTGCATGCTAGAAAACGAACATGAACAGCATCTTTAGTAGTCTTTCAAAACGAAGCCAAGTTAAAAATAAATTATGTTGTGTGTCCTACTGCTTTTGCTGACTGGAAGTCTATTAAATTGAACATAGAAAAACCAAAAGAGAACAAATTATTTTATTTGCTCATTGTAATGTAGAAAGAAGATGATAGAATCTTGTCAAAACAATCTAACTCTAAAATATCAAGATATAAATGACAAATCTGAGCATTTGCTTCGTTTCATTGCTGAAGATGAGATTTGGATTTCAGGATTGTGATTTTTATTTATTTTCTTTTATTCCTTTTGCAGATCTTAGTTTTAATTGCAGAATAGTCTTATAAATCTGACCCAAAATTCCTTTTTTTTCTGCAGCAACAAATTGAGCATTACATCTAATTACCCCTAATTCCTTATTTGGGCAGGAACACAGGCCCATCATTTGCTCCATCTACAGCAGAACAATTTACACATTAACTTTTAAACAATTTTCTATACTGTGAATTTTATATCTTCTTACACATACCCTGCTTTTAATAAATTTTACATTATAGGCCCTAAAACATCTACTCAACAGTGAGTGTTGTCTTGTATTCTACAGGATTTTAGTTAAAAGTCCAGGCATGAATCTGCTTCCCGCTGTTACTCTGGACTCCTCTGA